TTCCTGCAACCTCAATAAGGATTCTTTAAAATACAGCCAGCTCGCCTGGATCCCTTTGCCCTTCATGTTATTCTCCCAGGGGATCCTGCCCATCTGTTCCCTGAGGGAGTCAAAGTCTGCTTTTCTGAAGTCCAGGGTCCGTATTCTGCTACTCTCTTTTCTTCCTTGTGTCAGGATCCTGAACTCGACCATCTCATGGTCACTGCCTCCCAGGTTCCCATCCACTTTTGCTTCCCCTACTAATTCTTCCCTGTTTGTGAGCAGCAGGTCAAGAAAAGCTCTGCCCCTAGTTGGTTCCTCCAGCACTTGCACCAGGAAATTGTCCACTACACTTTCCAAAAACTTCCTGGATTGTCTGTGCACCGCTGTATTGCTCTCCCAGCAGATATCAGGGTGATTAAAGTCTCCCTTGAGACCCAGGGTCTGCAATCTAGCAACTTCTGTTAGTTGCGGGAAGAAAGCCTCATCCACCTCATCCCCCTGGTCTGGAGGTCTATAGCAGACTCCAACCACGACATCACCCTTGTTGCTCACACTTCTACACTTTATTCAGAGACTCTCAGGTTTTTCTGCAGTTTCATACTGGAGCTCTGAGCAATCATACTCCTCTCTTACATACAACGCAACTCCCCGACCTTTTCTGCCCTGCCTGTCCTTCCTGAACAGTTTATATCCATTCATGACAGTACTCCAGTCATGAGAGTTATCCCACCAAGTCTTTGTTATTCCAATTGCATCATAGTTCCCAGACTATGCCAGGACTTCCAGTTCTCCCTGCTTGTTTCCCAGGCTTCTTGCATTTGTGTATAGGCACTTAAGATAACTCATCAATCGTCCCTCTTTCTCAGCATGAGACAGGAGTCCTCCCCTCTTGCACTCTCCTGCTTGTGCTTCCTCCCAGGATCCCATTTCCCCACTTACCTCAGGGCTTTGGTCTCCTTCCCCCGGTGAACCTAGTTTAAAGCCATCATCACCAGGTTAGACAGCCTGCTGGCAAAGATGCTCTTCCCTCTCTTCGTTAGGTGGAGCCCATCTCTGCCTACTACTCCTCCTTCTTGGAACACCATCCCATGGCCGAAGAATCCAAAGCCTTCTCTCCGACACCATCTGCGTAGCCATTCGTTGACTTCCACGATTCGATGGTCTCTACCCAGGCCTTTTCCTTGCACAGGGAGGATGGACGAGAACACCACTTGCGCCTCAAACTCCTTTATCTTTCTTCCCAGAGCCATGTAGTCTGCAGTGAGCCGCTCAAGGTCATTCTTGGCAGTATCATTGGTGCCCATGTGGAGAAGCAGGAAGGGGTAGCGATCTCTTCAAGAAGTGCTACAGATCAGCCATGGAAACATCAATATCTATGAGCAGATTTCATAGAGGTTGCTGGCAAAAGGTCATGGCTTAGATTAGCAAGAGTGCCACACGAAAGTGAAGGATCTACTTGAGGGATACCACAAAGCAAGGAAGGGAAACAAGAGATCTGGTGCTGCCCCACAGACTTGCCACTTTTACAACTAACCGCATACCAAACTGGGCAGTGACCCCACCAGCATCCCACAGACCACTATGGATACCTTGGAGAAGTCCAAGATGGTGACCCATCTCATGAATAGGTAGAAGGAGGAGGAGGGAGGCCCAGCAGGAAACTCCAACCACGTTGCAAGCCAGAAATGGTTTGAAACTCCACACAAATGTAGCCAATCCCAGCAGGTGAGCACAGACGAACCTGCTGACAAAGGAGAAAGGAGCTTGGTTAAATCTGTGCATGCATTATTCCTTACATTTCCCCCCCCCCCCCCGCTTTCCTTCAAACCACATCTCCCTCTCTCCACGCCCCCAGACCACCTTTATTCCCCATGTAAAAATGGTACCCAGCCCTTTTGCAAATTAAGACAGGTATCGACTTTTCATTGCTTTATTGGTATAATGTTAGAAAATAAAAAGTTAGGGAATACATTCTAAAAAAAGATTATATTCAAGTCCAGTTAGTCAATCCACATCAAATCAGTGTCCTGTGCTCAGATGGGGTAGAACATCCTCTGCTCAGGCAGAGGTAGAAAAAACAGAGGTTGAATTGGTGTATGTTGTTAATTTCTTTGACTTGTCAGACTAGGCAGGGGGACCATGCAAGTTTGTTTATCAGAATAGGAATGTCTCTATCTTCTTGTGAGATCTCAGTTAAAAACTTTCCTGGATATACTCTGCAATCCACTCCTGAAAACTGTTCCTTCCACTGCGCTAGGACACTCTCTCATGCCCTCTGTGATGATTCCACAGGCAAAATTCCAATAAACAGGCCAGCTGAGTGGCATATGGGCCTGGGCAGCTTCAAGACTCCAGTAGCAGCTGGGTTTTCTGTGCCTTTGCGACCCTCAGGAAAGAGATATCAGCCAAAATCACTGCCTGTGAAAACAGTAGCATTGTATTCACTGCCATTTCCCAATACCCATACCCAGGGAGAGGGACCAAAATGTATAGCTATGTGCAGTGGTGTACCCTTCCTCCTCCCAGCCAGGCCATACTCACCATGGTTTGAGCTAAAGGCCGGTGCTGTAGCGAGGTGCTCCAAAGCTGAAGTGTCAATAAGCCTTTCTTATGCAGGGTATTTGCTGGAATAATATAAAGGAGTTGAGACTTCCACTGTGACTGTAAATCTAATGCTGCATCTGACTGTTTTTATCTGCAGCTTCTGGTGTAGTGGCCTTCAGGGGTCTCCCCTTCAGGCTCTTCCTCCATGCCCGCTGAATGTCACCCAATGAAATTAATAAGCAGCAGGTTGAAAACAAAGAAGGAAGTACTACTTCACACAAAGTGCAGTCAACCTGTGGAACTCATTGCCAAGGAATGTTGTGAAGGACAAAACTATAACAGGTTTCAAAAAAATTAGATAAGTTCATGGAGGATAAGTCCATCAATGGCTATTAGCCAAGATGGTCAGGGGTGCAGCCCCATGCTCCGAGTGTCCTGGGCCTCAGATTGCCAGATGCTGGGACTGGACAATGGGGGATGGATCACTTGATTGCCTGTTTTGTTCATTCCCTCTGAAGCACTTGGCATTGGCCACTGTCGGAAGATAGGATGCTGGGCTAGATGAACCATTGATCTGATCCAGTATGACCATTCTTACGTCTGACCCTGATCAGGAGAAGGAAGAGGACTAAGGTGGCTATGTTCTGTAAAATCCTTCAAGCCTTGAGTGAAGGGGACTGGACTAGAAGACCTTTCGAGGTCCCTTCCAGTCCTACAAGTCTATGATTCTATAAGCCACAGTTTCCTTGTACCATGATCACATGGCTTGGAGGGCCCTTCAGAAAGTGACCACGAAGAAAGACAGAGAATGGAGACAGCAGTAGCTGCATGACAGGCAAAAGGACCAGGAGATGCAGCAGGAAAAGGACTAGCAGGCACAGTGTGAAATGCACCAGGACATTATAGGTTTGCTTAGGTAGTAAATTCAAATGTTGCACACCATGGCTGATCTATTGCTACAGAGTTCCCAGACTCAGCAGCCTTTGCAGTCCTTGGAGAACTCCATGGTTGCTGCTGCCTACATTCCCCAACATTCCACGTGGAACCGCAGTGCACATTCTTACCATGACTACTCCACAAGGAGAACCATAGCTACACATATACTGACCTTTATATAACACACACATACACACACAGCAGTGGGTGTGTATGTAGCCACAACACTGCTCTGAGCTACTATTTACATACATGGACAAATGTTTACTGTTTACTTCCGTTTTCACTTTGCACTTCACTCTCTTAACAGTGTTGACAGCATGACAGCCAATATTTCATGAAATCAACAGACAGCTCTTCTATTGCTGACTGTTAAAATGTTCCTTTAAAGCCTCCCTCAGCCACATCTCTCTACGTTAACTCTGTCTGGCTGTTCAAATTCAGCAGACAGCTGGTCAGACTTACTCATCCACCTTGGCAGCAGCTTTTCCCACTTTGCCGTACACATATATGCAATATACAACACGCAACTATAACCATTGGGATGTTTTTCTTGCTGAAATCCAATCTAGTGAGGAAACAATGCCTGCATCCCTTCGATCTACCAAAAGCACATTGAACGGTACCTGAGACAATAGCTGAATCTTTCTTCAGTGCTGTCAAGGTGGCTGGTGTATGGTTGCATAAGCCAGGGAAGCAAAGGCTAGGGTAGGCAATCCAGAATCACTATTGGCATTTCAACAGCACCAGTGAGCATCTGCTGATTGGGAAAGAATGTCCCTGCTTGCAGAGTTTTTAAAAGTCCTGTATTCACAAAGATGCAAACATCATGCACCTTCCCTGACCAGGCCACACTGATATTAGTGACGCCGCCTCAGTGATCCTCTAGTGCTTCCATAATCACAGAAAAGTAACCCTTTCTGTTGATGCACTCTGTGGCCAGGTGGCCTGGTGCCAAAATAGGGATATGCATCTATTGCCCCACCGCAGTTCAGGAAACTCACTACTGCAAATCTATCCACTACTTCCTGTGGATTACCAAAGAGTCAGAGTTCTATGCAGCAGGAGACGTTTAATGGCCCTACACACTTGGATCACAATGCCCCCCCCACACACTATGGATTTTCCAACCCCAAAATGATTGCCAATTAACCGATCGCAATCCAGTGTTGCAAGTTGCCAGAGCAGGATAGCCACTTGCTTCTCTGCTGTCAATGCTGCTTTCATTTTGGTGTCCCTGCACTGGAGAGCTGGGTAGAACTCAGCACACAGCCCCAGGAACATGGCCTTTCACATCTGAAAGTTCTGCAGCCATTGTTCATCATCCCAAACCAGCATTACAATGTAATCCCACCAATCAGTGCTCACTTCAGTCCAGAAACAGTACTCCACCATGTGGAACGGTTCCATGAATGCCAGCAGCAACCTGATACTGTTTTTCCACTGTGTCCATCAGCATCCAGTTGTTGTGCTCAAACATCTTCACACTCTCCTCCTCCCAATCCCTGTGGTAGCCTTGCATATACCGGAGAACTGTGCACCCTGTATCAACAATGCACAAGAGAATTATGCTCAACTCTCCAAGCTCCATGCTTCTGTCAGAGAGAAGGCAGACACCAAAAAGCAACATGTGGGACTGTGGGAATTCTAAAAATCAGTGTGAAAATTAAGGGGTTTGAAAAGTATTATGGGATTTAGAAAGTGTCATGGTTGACTAACTCCCAGAAATCCTTGAGCAACTCATTACTATCCCACAAAGCACTCAGAAAATTGTCCCAAAAGGCATTGTGCTGGATAGTGGTAGGTGGCATGAGATGCACTGTGCAAGACTCCTGGTGAGAACATGCAGCACTGAAGCAAGCAGCCCAGTGTGCACACGCTCTAGTGATATAAAAACTTTGACTGCTGTATGCCAACATAACTTGAGTTGATGACATTTTGTAGCACAGACATGACCTTAGACAGTTAAGTCCCATTTTCAAAGTTGATATAGTCACGTGACTCGGTCTTCGCCACCCACAATATGGTAAATTCTACTCTGTGATCAGTTGGTTGGATCTGGGATTAGAGAAGGACAGGCAAAGCCAACAGTGAAATGGCCAACAATCAAAAACATTTTCAGGCATATGGAGACAAACAACCACCATTCTCCAGATCACAAAAAAGCATATGTACACTATGCACAGTAGAATCTCAGAGTTACGAACACTTTGGGAATGGCGGTTGTTCATAACTCAAACATTTGTAACTTGTAAACTTTTGAAAGAACCATAACGTTTTGTTCCAACTGAACATTGACTTAATACAGCTTTGAAACTTTACTATGCAGAAGAAAAATGCTTCTTTTAACCATCTTAATTTAAATGAAACAAGCACAGAAACAGTTTCCTTACATTGTCAAATCTTTCCCTTTTATAGTAGTTTACATTTAACACAATACTATGCGGTGTGTATATCTCTATAGAGATAGAGATTTTCATCTATGCAGCTTGATTGCTTACTTCTGGTTCCAAATGAGGTGTGTGGTTGACTGGTCAGTTTAACTCTGGCGTTCATAACTGAGGTTCTACTGTACAACCCGCTTAATTACAACCTAATTTCTTCAAATGAAGACTAAAATTTCAATTAACAAAATTTCAATGAGTTTCAACTATATGGGAAGTTTGAAGATCGTGTCTCTTTCCATTATTGAAATTACTTGGAAGGAAGAAAATCCAACACAGCACTACAGGATGCATTTTAAAAAATTGAATTAAAAAACTAATTAATAGATTTACTTGTACATTCTTGAAAAATTCCTTCTGTACTCAGAGCAAGAACTGTATATTTCAGGAGGACACACTGTATTCTTCATCTATAACTGAGGTTAAATCCCTACTTTAAGTGCAAAAAATTAACTATATTTTAACTACTGAGCCACAAGAAGTGTCTCTGTAATGACTTTTAACAATATGCTTCTCTTACGGTGTTAGTTTTCTTAGTAAACTATTTTCTTCGTTCTGTCTTCTAACTCAGCTCTTTATGGGCCTGAGCAAAATCTCACTGAAATCAATAAAAAGACTCCGATTCACTTCAATGCATTTTGCAGCAAGCCCTATGTGCCTCTCTTCACCTGTATACTATCCCTTTCTAGCATTGTAGGTCTCTCAATCCTCTGCTAATTATTATTATATATTTGTATTATGGTAGCATCTGGAGGCCCCAGTCAGGGATTTGTAGTAGGCACTATGTAAACACTATGACACGGTCTCTACCCCAAAG